TCAGAGGGTGGAGACGGGATGAGGGGGTGGAGGGGTGGGGAGGGTAAGGTCTCTGTATGCTAGATGCTTTTTCGTGATAATGCTCTGTTTAACGTTCCTGATCTCAATGGCTGTGTTCCCCCTTCTCCAATCCAGCGGGTCACACTGAGTCACAAGGCCAGCCAGCGATGACAATGGCATGTTTGTGCGCTGGCTGAGCTATGGGTAGGCTGTCTGATGTGAAGGGATAAGATGGCACAAGGTGGACACTAGAGTCTCGTGTGTGTGTGTGTGTGTGTGTGTGTGTGTGTGTGTGTGTGTGTGTGTGTGTGTGTGTGTGTGTGTGTGTGTGTGTGTGTGTGTGTGTGTGTGTGTGTGTGTGTGTGTGTGTGTGTGTGTGTGTGTGTGTGTGTGTGTGTGCACACTTGTGTACACGTGTAAGCCTTTGGATATCTGCTTCTTGTGCATTTGCTGCTGGTGCATACAGATGTAATAGATTCAATAGAGAGAACCTTTCTCACGATAGTGTAAACCACAGAGATCAAAACACAGGTAAGTACTATAAGCATTCTAATCTACATTCAAACACTCACTCCAACGTAATATTCATTTGGGTCATGACAAATAAGATAATCGCTTTCTGCAACGGAAGGAAATTGTGGGTAACGGACACTTTCAGGCTTCTACAACCCACAGACAATATCTGCAGTTGGTGATTTGATAACTGAAACAGGAAAAGGAAAGAATATCTCATACTGCAGTTAGATTCAGCAATCTAACAGCCATTAACCCACCCGGTCAGCACTGAAAAATAAATGCTATAGGGACAATGGTCAGTGAAATAGATGCTTAAAGGAATAATAAAGAATCAAATATCCTACATATTGCAGTGGGGCCATTGCCCAAGCAGAAACTTGACAAGATTTACACCAAATGAAGAAATCATCTTCCGAAAAAGCCAAACCTATATTTTAATTAATAATCTTGTTATATTGCCAAGTCCCCAACAGATTCTAGCCAACACAGTTTAACTGTATGTATTGTGTTAACAGGATGAATGTGTGTGGAGGGGAGCGATATGAGGAAAAATGAGATATGAGAAAATGTCACCTGTTCAAACACGGAAAGACAATTATACTGCAAGTTAAACACTGGAAATCAGAACTGATAACTCTGCAAGAACACAGCACAAACAGTGGGATTTTTTTACAAAAATGGTATGGTAAAAACAGAAAGGAAGGCTCGCAGTGGACTGTAGAGGTCACTGCCGTACACCAGCAGCTTCACTCCAGTTTGAGCTATTTTCTTGGAAAAAGCAGACCTGCAAGCCCTCATCAAAACAGGCTAATTGTTGTGCTAAACTTTATTTTTGGATGTATTCCTGCGGCCTGTATTGATATACATACTGCATGTAGGTATATATGTGCATCCATGCATGCGCGCATATACGCTACTTTCATTTCTTTCAGTAAAGACCAACATCTCTCACCAGTGGGTAGTAGGCCATACACTCCTTCATCATCCCCCCCTCCTCCCTCTTGTCCACCTCCTTGTTGTCATATGACCGCTGTTATGTGTGTGCAATGGAACACAAAGTTGCTCTGTTAGTCCCCTCTGCTCTGCCCTCTCAGATTTGAGTGCTGGAAGTAAGGCCCTCTCACACGCCCGGCCTCAGGAAAACAGACAGGCCCCTGTATGTGACTACAAGCAACGATTAGAAAGGAGGGCAAAGAGAAAGAGAGGGATGAATTGAGCTGATGTTATTTTATGTAACAGCGAAAGATAACTTAATCCGTACTCATTCACAGAGCCCCGCCCTAAGATTTTGTTCGATTCAGCTGATAGCTTTCCCCACTGATGCTTTACTGTTAAGTAATTTATTAGTCTTCTCTACATCAGCGCCTGTCTAAAAGAGACAGTGTCTTACAGCCGTTTGTGTGGAGATGACACTTTTTCCTAGTACCTGGCAAGGATTAAAGACCCAAAACAAACACAAATGCTGAGCCAGCGGAATCAGAGCAATGCCCTGAGTGAGCAGTGGCAACTGGGAGACCTGGACTTTCTGGACACATACTTCCTTTATGGTTTAAAGGATATTTTATGGCCTCTGCATGGTGTAAAAGATACATTTTCATGTTAATTCTCACAACTATTAAAGAAAAGACTCTTATTAGTCTCTTGCGGTAATTCTGTTACTCCCTCTCCAGGAAATAAATGACATCTTAGATTAATCATTTTATTAAGTAGGCTACCGAGGGAACTAGGCTTGGCCCCCTTTGTACTTAAATGTAATAGAGCTCAGTTTAATTGTCCAAGTCGGTGGTGTGCTCACCTATAAGGTTAAAGATGGCTAAAAGGGCACCGGATGGTGACATTGGCCTCCTCAATGAGGAGGGAGCTGCTACCTCAACAGCCACTGTCACTTTAAAACCAAGTCTGTCCCTGCTGTCCCTTGCCATTATGTCACCCAGTGGAGTGGATGTAGCAAGTAACAAAAGAGGTGGAAGGAGGTCAACCCAGCATAGGTTTTGTCACACTATTGCTCTGGTTTTTAATACGCATAGGTCATTTGAGTGGCAGCATACCGTATACTACCATTTAATACAAAAAGTGAAATAAAACATCCAAGCTGTTGGACCCGTTATGCTTAATTTAAGTGATGTGTATTGCACTGATTTAAGAATTTAAAAAAAATTAGAACACATTTATTTCTTCCAATATTTATTATAATAATGATGACATTATTCAATGTCTGTGTGTGTCTGTTTGTGTGTGAAACTTGGTGAAGGCCCATTATGTAAGCATGTGATTAACCTTTATATTTCACACTGAACCTCGTCATCTATCATTTTAAAGCCTAAGTTATCAGTGACCTGACATTTTTTGACATGTAGCAGAGCAAAACTGAGCATTTTGCAGCTTAAATGAAAAGATGAATCAGATATTAGTGTAGTTCTCAGTGGTTTTGTCACATTGAATGTGACAAAAGCTGTTTGTTTGTCTTCTAATGGTTACCAACCAGTGACTGAGACAGTAGTAGTTGCCATTGAGATGAGAACAAGATCACAACTGGACAAAAACGTCAAAGACCCTGGATTTTGTCAGTGCAATACACCGACAGTTAGACACTGTCTTGCCTGAAAAATGTTGTTTGCATGCAAAACATTCAAACACCCAGTTCAGATTCCAGCTGTGATATTATAAGCCACATTTTTTGTCTGCATGGCAGCAACGTGACATGAATCTTCTAGTGAAATGGCATCATGAAGAATTAAATATCTGCAGATTCTGGTTGCCCAAAAACACAACTCAGACCCCTTGGAGTTTTAATAAAACCAATATTGCTTTCTAGACATCTCCTAATTTAAAAACACAATTTGATTAATAAACGTGGAACTGATCAGAAATAAATAAAACATTACATACACCTACACTTGCTGATAAAGCATGGTTTGCATGCTGCATAAACTGCCTCTCTGAATTCCAAAATGTAAAGCTTTTTCGTAGGTTAGAACAGTAAATTCAACTTGCAGCTACCCATAAAGGCTTATCCCAGTCTGTCAGCATTACACGATGACAGCAATCAATGTTACTGTACCGTTTTCTCTCACAAACCCCAATCGAGCAACATTACAGAGGGCACAGCAAACATATCAATCTAATATTTTTGATCCATTTTGGTATTGTTACTGCTCAAGAGATAAAAGCATGGTGGAATTTATCCACCATCTTTGCCTTGATGCACAGATGTCTGAGGGCCTGATGTGAGCTCCTGCCGGTGGAACTATCACACACACATCCAGCATTCTTTCTGTGTCACATGCTCAGGAAAGCGCGTCTTTCTACCACCGTGAAATTATCACGGTCTTTCCCCCTCTCTCTCTTTCATCCAATCTGTTCCAAATCTTCTCTTTCCTTCTTTCTCGCTCTTGCTCTCTGCTGCATCAACCTCCGCCCCTCCGCCCCTCTGCCCCATCTGCCTCCCTACTGTTAAACCCCCCAGCCCCTCGACCCCTCCCTGCACTGGTTCTCTCTCTCTCTCTCTCTCTCTCTCTCTCAAGCATGTAACACAAACACACATACAGTACACACAAATTACACATGCTCTCCTGATGCTACACGACCAATCCCCCCCCCCATTGAAAAAGAAATACAGTAACGCTCTGTTCAAAATATGAAAGATGAAACAGAAAATGTCACAAATCATCCTGTTTTGCCTGCTGAGTAATGAACACGCTCTGCCCTCTCTCCTCTCCCCCCCTCTGACTTTTAAGATTTACATTCATAAATACACAACAACTGCACACAAATGAACCAAATAAAATCCAAGCCCGAGATTATTAATGAATGCCGATGTAATTTCTTCCCCTGTAGAACAGCAGACATCAACCTCCACTGTCAGGCCACAATTTGCCCGCTTATCCCAGAGCTCGCAGAGCCAAGCCCCTGCACACTTCCCACTGCAAATACACATTCAATATCTTGTAAAGCCAGTTGTAAGTACCGAACACCTGATCACCTGAAAGCTGATGGTACTTTTACTCTCCCATTTCCCCTTTCCATTTCATAGCTCATGGCCTGGACAGAGCACAGAGGCATGCGCGCAAACACACACACACACACACACACACACACACACACACACACACACACACACACACATCTTTGATGCATCCTTCACTTGTCCTACATACAGTAATTACATTAACTAAGGACTGCGTTCAGATAAAAGCATTCCATAAGAATCGAGGATGCTCTGGGGAGATGATGAGTCAAATTGCAAGCATAAGATAGCAGCGTCTGTTGGCACACAGCTAGTAGGGTGGAGGAGGGGACTGGACAGGCTGCCTGCCTTGGTGCCATCTCTGAACATCACCTTCCCCATTTTATCAGGAAAACACACTCCCTCTATGCAGAATGCCTGTAATGAAATAGCATCTTGCTCCTCCTCTGTGCCCAAAGCAGGCCAGCCTTGCGGTGATTACAAAAAAAGCTGTCTGTTTGAGAGTAGTCAGGCTTACCGTGTTCACAAGCCAGCATCCATTTATAAAGGATACTGCAGACAAGCCCTTGCAGGGAGAGAAAGGCTCTGTGCAATCCACCTTTAGTCCTGCTGCTTCATCTTCATGTCTTCCTCATATTCACACAGTCACACACACTCACGTACATCTCTCTCTCTCTCTCTTTCAGTGCCACTCTTTCTCTGTCTTATTAACGTCTGTGTTCTATATCCTCTCTTGTTTGCTCCAAGGCAGTTGAGACACTGCAGCGATGGGGGTGGAGGGCGTGTATATATGTGTGCGTGTGTTCGAGTGTGTCAGAGAGACAGAGAGGCAGAGAGAGGGAGTGCAGGACAGAAATGGAGGGAGGAGTCAGCAGGGATAGAGAGAGAAGGGAGAAATGGTCAGGATTAAATCATGAGAGTAACAGAGAGAGAGAGCAAACAGGCTTTGATGGGGTAGCTACAGCTTCCAGTGTATCTTTATTTAATGCTGTAATGATAAAATATACATTGGCCATTAAGGAATCTGAGCCCTACTGTCTAGAATGGTGGTGAGACTGTAGATCTGTTTCTTGAAGTGTTATATGCTTGCTGACAGGCCAGCAGCAGGATTGGTTGTGATTTCATTGATGACTAAAAAAACATACAAGATAGGGAGAGAGGGAGGAGGAGGAGGAGGAGGATGGGACTAGAGAGGAGAGGAAGGGAGGGGAGAAATGACGACAAAAGAATGGGAGGGGGATTGGACGATGGTGTAATGTGCTGTTTCCGTGCCAACTGTTTCTGTGACAGTGTGACCACTTCCTTTATTGCTATTGGCTATAACCAAGAATTGATAGAGGCTCTGGCAAATGAGGCAACATGCCATGGGGTGTGAATGGGTGGTTCTTTTCGTGTGTTTCTTTCACTTCTTGTTAATCTCTGGGAACAGCAAAGAAATTTAAAAAAAAAAAAAAAGAATGAGTTTTTGCTTGACTGCAGCTGCAGACAACAGACATGCATGAACACACAGAAACACAGCAATCACAGTGCTGGAGCATGATGTGATTTATCGCTTTGTCATTATGGATGCCACCAGTGTGTAAAGAGACTCCTCCCCTCCTCCTGCACACACACACACACACACACACACACACACACACACACACACACACACTCACTCTCTAACACACACTGTCCAGCAGGAAAAAATCCCCAGATCAGGTTGCTCAGGGTGTGTTGTGTAATGTAATTGCCTGGACACCAACCCTGGTGTCATGAACTGTGAGATAATTAATCGGCTATAGGCCAGCGCAAGTGCACATCTGGTGGGGGTGAACAACTTTGCCTCTCCCTGATCTCTCATCCGGCCCTTTTAATCCGGTCTGGCAGGCAGGTGGTGTATTGTCCCCATTCTTTCTCCCTGTCACTGTCTCCCTCCCGGTATCTTTTACCTGTTACCCTATTCAACGTATATTATTTATTACCGCTCAGTCTTAGCGTAAAATCCCTTCCTCTTTAGCGGTGGTTCAATACTGCAGAAATGTATCAACTCTCAGTTTCTGCAGTAGTGCAGCGTGAACTTCTCAAAAATGAGTAACAGATGATAATGCAATAACATTATGCAATTAAGGTGTATGAAACTGACACCTACCACAAAACCACCAAAAAACCCACTCTGGGATGTCCCTAACCGTTTCAATCACATCTAAACATACTGTCAGAAAGACAGACAGTCAAAAGGAAACCATTTTCAAGACATTTTTGATACAGAGAGGACCAAAACAAAGTGTCTGTTTAGACAAGATGTCACGTACGATAGCCTTGGCTCTAAATGAGGGTGTTTCCGGGCTCAACAACTGTTGTTGACATCTCACCTTCAAATGTCAAATCCGCCATTCATGATCTACCTGACCCCAGCACACAGGAGATAAATCTCCAGGTGTGATTGAAACATTAACATTACAAATGTTTTGATGTATTTGAATGTGAAAAGTTTCAATCTGTGTACTGAATGAGAAGATCTAGGAGCAACAATCAGTCAAGTTCTTGATGATAATACACCAGGATAATATGCCATCTTGCCATTAAACAACCACTTTACCTCTTGAAACGTTTTCAGAACTTCTTGGCTTTTGGTAGCTACCTCCCAGACTTTTACTTTGGTCTCCTGTTGCTTTAAATGTGCTAGTTTTTGTTATGATATGGTGATCTTTGAAACATTATATTTTTACATTTAGACTTTATAATTTCAATCAGATTCCCTTTCCTGTTTGCTAAACTGCAGCAGCAAGGTAAATGAAACAAATGAAGAACAAAAGATCACCCCCCCGTTAAGCAGCTCTACACTGGTTGCCTGTTAGTTTTAGAATTGATTTCAATATTTCACAATTAAAGCACAGCAGGGTTTGTCTCCCAGCTACATATCAGACTTAACACTTCATGAGCTACAGCACAGCCCGGTCCTCTGGGAGAACTTGGTTGTCAACAGAAGGTGGCTGAGCTCCCACAAGGTCCAGCCAGAAAAGCAAAAGCTGCTCAAGATTGTCTTTTAAATCACTCCAAAAGACACGCTTTACAGAAAAGCCTGTACTTTTTGTTCTGCTTATTAGTGTGCTGATTTATTTGTTTTGTAAATCACTTCACTGACTTTATTCCCTGTTCTGTTTCTCAAGATGTTCTCTGCTAGTGCCTTATGACCCCTCTGTCTCCTTCAACATTTTTCCATCCCTTTCACTCTCCATAACCCTCACTATCCCTTTTTGTCTCTCCCAGATTGTCTCTGTGCCTCTCCCAGCTTCCTGTCTCCCTAATCCTTAATCCTGTGGAAATCGGTCAGGCAGAATGAGCCAGCTTTGATCAGGCTCTCATATCAGGCGTGCTAACAGTGTCAGCACACCCGGATCCCACAGAACCCTGGAGCCCAGGGGGAGAGCTTCAAACAGGCGTTCACCCCCTGACTCTGCTTGAGAGGAAGGGGAAACAGAGGCTGCAGAGTTCCTGTCTCAACTGCCAGCTACAGACTCTGACATCAGTCTTTTTAATTTAGCAAACATTTGCATCGTGATTTAACACCATTTATCTGTGATGGTACCTTCGCTTTTGGCTTTTTTTCCGCACAAACTAAACTTTCTGTGGGAAAAGAGATCAGCAGCCAGTGTAACGCCATTTACGGCTGAAAGCAGCGTACAGTGCAGAGACGTGAAAGTCACTTTAGCTTTTGTCAGTGGCGTCCTTGACAGCATGCATGGAATCTGTGTCACTGGTGTTTTGGTATTGTGATCCACCGTCCAGGGATAATACCTGCCTGAGTGGGAGGCATGTCACAAAACACCTAGTGATATTGTGGCACAAATGCATCATGCAGGAAAATTAGCCTTCCTTAAAGGTCAGTATGCACAGAGCATCTAACAAAGTCAGAAAAAAACGCACACAAACATTGAAACATTAACAAAGCGATTTCTGCTTTGCAGCCGCATTTTAATCCAATCATTCTACTCAGATTGTTTCAGATGGCCACTACAATACAAATGAATTCAGTTTTATTTGTACAGTGCCAAATCATGGCATTTCATATAGATATATATTCTTATAAATCTCAAAGAAACCTGCTGCTTTCACTTGAGGTTAGTGTTTGAGAGGGGCAGCCTTTCTAAAACATGCATTTACTGACTTGGAATGAATGCCATGAGGTACCTAAGTAAGTCACACTGCAAATATTAGAATAAACACTCAGTGCATAAATGTATCAGTGTATTCTTTTAGTAAGCCTGTGTACATATATATATATAAATGTATATATACCCTGCATCGTTACATTAGGATCATGTTAAAGAGTCATTCACAGGGCCTTCGACCTTGCAGAACCAACAGAAACACAAACTTGAACTCACAGCAGATCTACAACAATAGCAGGAGTGTGTTCATTCTCCCCATTTAATCAGTTCAGAAGTGTAATCAGGTACTTTAAATCAGTTAGAGAAATGAAGCATTTAGCAGGGCCAGTCTGCATACAGGATGTGCAACATCTGATGTGTGAGCACCTGCTATAATGAGCTCCATCCTTCAACCAAAGGTGGTGGAGGGCAAACATTTCATAGACAGGATTATAAACCCAGTGATTTTATTATCCTGTCCATGAAATGTTATTGAGGTGTAAATTTTGCAAAAAGACCTTGATAAAAATAATTGATGGGACGCCTCCATCAATTATAGCACCAATTACTGGTCGGCTACGTGAAAGATCAAGATAAATATTTGAATATGGCAAGAAGACAAGGAAATATATGAATAAACTGTAGAATAATATAAATTATTTCTTGTGTTTTAATTGTCTACCTTTGTATGGTCTGCCCCACTGTGTATCTTTTTGCAAAGTAATGTCTGACATCTAGTGGCCAAACCTTTATACTACATTGTTAAGAGGAAACATTTTGTATATGAACACACACACAAAATATTCAGCAACAATTATAAAGTAAAATAAAATAAAATGATGAATTATAAAGTAATTTTTTTCAATTCAACCTCAAATGAATGAATTTCGATTGTTTGTTTTTTTCTTCATTAAAATGTAACATTGGACACTATCTGAATTGTTTAAGTTGCTCATATATTTGCTTGATTATTGCTACGCCTTCATGCTTATCTTTAGTTCACTGAACACACAACAGTGAGCCGGCTAATATACACTTATCTACGTTTTTACAGCTTTTTTATTTACACTTACATTATAAGCGACACCTTTCTGCAGCTGTTGTGTAGCTGACATCAATATGAAATGAGTTTTTAAAATGAATGTCATTCACTTGAAGCCTATAATCTAAATATTCTGCCTGCAATCAAGATCGAGATTAACCATCTTTACACTTCCTTTGTACACTAATATAAGCCATAGTTGGTGGCACCAGAACCAGAGGTGGGACTAAGTCAAGTTCCAAGTCCTAAACAAGTCATAATGCACTCTTCACCTGCAATTTTAATAACAGAATAACGATATACTGGTATTAAAGAGGCCATATTATGCTCTTTTTCAGGTTCATACTTTTATATGGGCAGTCTACTAGAATAGATTTATATGCTTTAATGTCAAAAAACATTATTTTTCTCATACTATACATTGCTGACGCCAACCTGTCATCTTGTTTTGGGTGAACATCAAAGTACCCAAAACACATTTGTCCTTTTAAACAGATCATTGCTGTACAGTGACTGGTACAGAAAAACTAGGCGGGTGTCTGTGGTGGATGCAGCTATCTTTGGTATAATTTTTTCCAACTGGAGCTCAGTAACATTACGTTAGTTCTTCACGACTCCCTCCTGAAACTTGATTGGAGGCTGT